ATTTAACAACACACTTATTAATTGTCATTGTTTGCACAAAATAATTCAGTAGACTTTGTAAAAAAAAATTGGAAACAAAAACTTGTATGCAGGCATATTCATGTCCCCACAAATAGCAATGTGGGGTAAAATGATGTCATCTTGATATGCTAATTTCATCATGATGCAACTCGGATATACTTCCAAAAAGATGACATCAGGTACATTGTGATGAGAAAATATAAATATTGAAACAAGATATCTAGACAATAAAATAAAATTGTTTCCTTACCAGGGTATATTCAGGGATTGTTCTATTATATACACACTAGAGAAACTGGGACAGTACTTGCTGTACTGGGGTAACGCATTCCTGAGAACAATAGAGGGATGTAACTCCCTTCAAAAAAGACAAATGAATATGATGTAACAATCCAACTGCTTGATCTCATTATTTTGTTTCCCAAAATAGAAAGTAGTGTACAAACAAAATGATGGAGTACCTCCACAATGGGAATGCCACCATGCAGGTACAACTTTATCAATCCACTTGGACTTTCACAAAATAATGTTATTATAATTATTATAATACCATATTTGCTCACACACATCTCAATATAAAGCAAAAAATTACATTTGTGGAACATGAAAATTTTCATAATTTACCTAAGCCGATGTGCTGCTAGTAGAGTAATTATGGTAAGTATAAAATTGTTTCTATATTTTTTTTTCAAAATCAAGAAAATTATATTACAAAATATTAGACCAAAAGTTATATATGTTATTCAAATGGTTATGATTCAAGTACTGGTCAATAGACTCCACATTGTTTGGCCAAATTGAACTTTTACTGACTTCAAATTACACCTTCATTGACTTGATTCACACATGATTTGTTTACATCTCACCCATGTGATCCCTGGATCAATAATTGTTTATGCTTACACTGAAGTTCACATCCTATGTATATTGATCTCTGCAACTCATTTAAATTGAATTTGGCACAAAAATGAACAAAGAATATTTGATTCAATTAAAATGGTATGATACAAAAAAAGAGGATGTGGCTTCTATTATTTTGAGTATGGGAGTTTTACCATTTCTTCTGTGTTCCAAGATAATGAACTGTTGCATTGTGGGCATATATAATCTACGCTGGGGAAAAGTGATTCAGTATGGTATTTGATATTTTGTGTATAATATACACAGATCATGCCTGGTCACTAAAGTACATTTCCTATTGTACACTATTGAATATAAAGTATTGTGGGTAATATTCACTCACATCCGATCAGGTTCAAACTGCATTGGATCGTAGAGTATAATAAAGGAAGCGTAATGTACATTTAAACAATACACTGTTTATTATGCCGATTTTACAACAAAGAAATTACAATGTAACAAGAAAGCAACTGACAATAGAATGCCCTTTTTATAGGGTTGAACAGGATTCACACCTATGGATTAAAATTGTAGAGAAACACAGAGATTGGTTTTCAATATTAATACATCAGCTTAAAATCGACCTTGCAACTGATTTCTATTGCGTTCGTGCTGCCTATTGATTATTATTAATTGGCTTGTATAAATCGAATCTGTTTCTTTATAATAGAGATATATGTATTAAAGTGCGAACTCTTGACATGTAATAACTTCTACTGGCTATATCTCAGCTAATACTGCTTGTAATTGAACAAAATAAAGACGAATAGATAAAGCAAAACATGATCTAATAATACAACTAAATTTCGAGCAAGAAAGAATAAATCTGAATAAACAACAAATATGAATCAATGAGGAAAAACACAAGTGGATAAGCATCCACGATAAGTCTGAAGAGCAAAAAAAACTTCAAAAAATATATCCGATAATACAGCTTCAAGTTACACTGTTAGAACTGAGGTAGCAAAATCTTTTTGCTAGAAAAATGTTGACGGTTGTAACCAGAACAATAATGGCCAAAACCTGTACATTTGTAGGAAGCATTTGGTCTGAAATTATAATATATAATGTGAAATGGGCGATAAATAAGTAAAATGAAACAAAAAACGCTAATAGCATATCCACTGTTATTCTTGTTGTCCAAAGATTACGCCATTATAAAAAATAAATATATTTAAAAGTGCTTTTTTTGTCATTATTGTTACCATCAATTAGAAAATGAAGACCAGAAAAACTAAACAGTGACATCATTTGAAATGATTCAGAATCGAAAATAGTACTTTTGAAAATCTGTACCTCTGTACCTTCTGCAAGATTATCTCTTGTCTTAGCTTGGAAATAACCTTTATTTATATTTTTTTAAAGGTGTTTGGAATTGACAAACATAGAAGCAAATCCTCATTCCACCTACTTGAGCTTGTTGTAGTTATGTTTGACAATCATGAATAATAATGAAGCAGTACTTACATAGTGTACCATGAGTAAATCTCTATTACTGAAACACACCTACGCTAGCTGATGTTGAGGTCACGATATCTAGTCTGGCTCCTGCCTCTAAAGGTTGCAGGTTTTCGGCTTTCTTGGTAGCTGTAGTAAATTACCTCCGTGAGGGTGACGTTATGACTAATCATAGCAGTGGGTTCATAGTTCATCTTGTGTCGGTCTGTAGTCTTTGTGAATTTAGTAATTTCTGATACATTGTCCTTAAATTTGTTATTTTTAGATATAGAAGAGCTATGGTTCCTCTTTACTTGCATAAACACGTGCCTAATTTCATATCGCATTAGCAAATTTATATTGTCTGAAATAAGTTGAAACAGTCGGTGAGAAACTTGTCGGCGTATCCTGTCTCATCCTCATTTTCATTCAAACAATTCTGGCGTTCATACGCTAACGCAGTGTCAACATGGTGCTGAAGTTACATGTGCAGTGCAAATTCGTGTTGCGCAAGTGTAATGAAAACAAATCCTTGTTTTTAATTCTATGCGTAGTGCTTGGATAAGTACGGATCGTATTTATGCAATATTTAGTACATTTTACATCACTAATCAAGTATCGTAATTTAACAATGTATAGGTAGTATAAATCAATTATTATTTCCAGGTGTCACTTTGACTGAATACAACTTAAAACTTTTTAACATATTGAATACTCCTTCCAATATTTAATTATAATCTTGTTAGAAGACATTCTATGGGTAACGTTACATAAGTTTAAATAAATTCAGAAAATTTTAGTAATTTACTGTGAATGTCTTGTAGATAAAAAATAGATCTTTAGACAAGTAGTAGATCAACACATTGTGATCATTATCTGCGAGAGCATTTTGTAAAATAATCTCGTGTGATATATGGGTGATAATTAGATGATGTGAGAAATGGATAAATGGCAATGCGATAAATGGGTGATGCAACCACCTACGTTTAATTAAACTTGAAATTGTTGGTTGCGAACTGAAATATTTATATTAACCAAGTACGAAATTGCTGGGCTCCAGAATATATTGTTTTGCAAATATTTTGGCCACCGCTGCTAGATCGAAATCTTCAATGGACGGTCCATCAGATAAATCTTCAATGGACGGCCCATCAGATAAATCTTCAATGGACGGCCCATCAGATAAATCTTCAATGGACGGCCCATCAGATAAATCTTCAATGGACGGCCCATCAGATAAATCTTCAATGGACGGTCCATCAGATAAATCTTCAATGGACGGCCCATCAGATGATATCCTAATTAGATGCTCCAGTGTTTTTGTTTATTTTATTCTTTTCAGAGCACTGTTTTCATTGTTTACATCGGCAGTTGTGACATTAATTATTAGCATCCTTTTTACTAAGCATTAGAGATCCCACGAAACAAATTATACTAAATGTCCAGTCTTTATGCAGAGAATATAATTTGAAAGAAGGCTCAATTTAGTCGAATATTCACTCCTTTAGGCCAAAAAAAAAATATCGGGTGGCGTTTTTTCCCCATATACCTCGGCTTTTTACGATACCCTTATTTTTCACGAGTTTTAAAAAAAATCCGACCGACCGACCCAATTTTTTTTTTAATTTTCTGACTTGAGGGCAACATAAGTTTTTTTTGCCCTTACGTAAAAGTAATGAGTTACAGACATATGCTTATAAAAAGGCCTAAGGCCAGGGTCACGATGTCGGTGATTTAGGATACCACAACGTACATACACCTCAAAATCATCTTTGTATGGAGTCTTTGTGAGCATTATTTCCCACAAACCATTAACTCCACTGTCATCACGAACATCATTTTCTAGAACACATTTGTTTTTGTAATTTAAGAATTTAAAAGGAATATGCTTATGTATTTTTGAATAAGAAATAACTGTATATACTACTAGATTCACTCTTTTGTACTGTGTTCTACAAATAACTGCAGCTGTTCATAAGAGACAGGGCATCTAAGGACAGTAGACGACAAAAGTACATTCTATCTTTTGTATATTTGTAGATATACCTTGATATCAGCTTTAGTCTTTGATGTGGCTAGCTGCTCAGTATGAATTAAGACAGTATGATATTGCATGCTTATTGGAATAAATTTGCTTATGTTAATTAGATAATTTGCATAATAATTAACTAGCTCCAATATGTTTTTTCTCATGTCCTAACAGTTGATTCAAATTTGGCACATATATGGTGTTTGTGTAATTAAATGTCAAGCTCTACTTCGGAATTAATCTGCATATGTTAATTAGCTAGAGTGCATACTAATTAACACATTACACCATGTTTGCTCTAATTAGTTCATACTTTTCGTCAATGTCTAACAATAATTTGAAAAAAATCTTATGTTAATTAGCTTAATTTGCATACTAATTAACTCATTCGTAATTTTTTTGATATTCTAAGTATGCTCAAATGAGTTATAAGATGACGTTTACATTCTATTTTGTAATTGAATGTCTAACACTGATTTAAACGTGGAATCAATCTATGTTCAGTGAACTACGAATGTTGAATTCACTTCACACAAGAAAACTAGTATGAAAGAGACGATGGGATGATTTGTCCTGAATTAATTGATGAGACTTGTATATTTTTTCTACACAGAAAGAAAGCGTTAACTTCAAATTCTAGTTCAATGAAGAAAACTACGAAAAATAACACATGCTCTGAATGTAGCAGTGAAGATTCAGATGCTCCCAGTACCTTATGTGTTCCTTCTACCTCCAAAGGTACAGTCAATATATTAGAAACCATCTATGACATGTCAAGTCTAAAGTGGTGCTTATTTTTCTGAGCTATGAGCTATATTTGACATACAGATAGACTCGTTAAAAAACCTTTGTAAATTATGAAATGCAAACTTTCCCTAGTCTTGATCTTTGATTTAAAACATGACAGTTGGATTAATTCATGACGATTGAACATTTACAAGACCGGTTGTCAAATCAAATGCTTTTGTTCTAATTTGTTCAAATTCTTCTCATTGTAAACGTAGTATAATATAAATTGGTACTCAACTTTGGAACCATAGCAATAAAACAACTAACTAAAAAATCCCTACAATTTCTTGGTTTATTGGTGCGATACAATGTTTCATTAGCTCAAATAGAGCAATGAATTTGTACTTGTGATTGTATTATGTTGAATTCAGTTGTTCATTTCGGAAATAAGCATGTATGTTGTTGCTAGTTAAAATGCTACCGATTTGGAATGTACATACAGTTGCTGTGTGTCAATGCATCAATGCCAGCATTACAGGTTGTTTGGATAATCATTTCCTTCTTTCATAATTTACTTTCAGAGCTATCACCATGTAAACAGTCGTCAGATACTAAGAGTAAAAGTGTGATCATTAGTCGGTAAATATATCAAAGTCTTAACCGAATTTATTTTTCATCAGAACCAAGAATGTTATGGCATTCTATGAATGTATGTAATTCGTACTTCAAAATTTCACTTGATACCATATAGGATGATTATTAAAGTTTAATACTTTTATTGTTATGAATTCATATCTTGTTAATGATATATTGTTTTCATATTATTTCTTTCGTCCATCCTTCCTCCCATCACTGCTGAACATACAATCGATTTGAGGCATTCGTGTGGCTCTTTATTGACTCCATCCAGGATCTCATACATATTCAAATCACCAGGCATCTTCACTGTGACTGACTCCACCCTCACCCACTGTAGTAGTCATCCATGTGATACTGGCTCAACTAACTTGATGATTTTGCTGAGTAAACAATGGCTCTACTGACTGTAGTCATCCATATGAGTCTTGTATCGACTCCATGCACCCACTAAAATCACCCACATGGCAACCACATTGACTCCACTAGAGTTGTCTATGTGGCTCTCATGCAGACCCCACCCAATAGTCATCTATGTAGCTCATAGTACTCCTAGTGGTTCTCATACTACTACATATGGCATTCAGGTTATTGAATCCACTCACTAGAATAATATAAACAACCTACTAGTGTATTCACGTGGGTCTCTTCATTTAAGTGACTCAAGCTTACTCCATCCACTGAGTTTCAACACAAGCTATACATGTATTTATTATTTTTAGAGATATAACAAATGAAAGAGAGATTCTTCCTATTCCTGTCATAAACGAAGTTGACAATACAAAACCCCCAGATGACTTTTTCTATGTAACACATTCTCGTGCTAATGAAGTGTATTACCTGGACTCGAACACTGTTGTATATTGTGAATGCAAAGATAACTGCTTTTCTAACACATGTCCCTGTGGTAAGGATAGTGTGAAGTGCTGGTATGATAAGGTATGATCACATTCAGATTTAGTTCACAGAACGCACCTGGTTCAATTGTGAAAACATAAATGAGTGACATGTATTGACAGATTTAAAAAGGCTAAAACACACAACATATAATACACATTCAAGGGCATGCTCTAAGAGTTATGCTAACTAGTTGTTTTTATCGACTTACACACTTGCATTTGTTCTTGTACAAATACATTTCTAGTTATTCTACTTGTTGCATATCTAATAAATTCTGGAGTTTTCAAAGTTTTCCATCAAGAATGCTTGTTTTGCTTTAATACCATTTCAAACCAGACTACTTTAATTGTGACAACATTGCTATATATATATATATATCAGATGTGGGGCAAAATGATATTTGCTAATTTTAAAAACAAATGTCAAACAATATATTTAGTAAATGTACTTTTAACATTGAACATATAGCTTGTTGATGTATTTGAAAATAGAAATACGAAAAGAACGAGCAGATAAGTTTACTTTATTTTAGCCTTATTTAAAGCCTCTTAATTTATAGGCAAGAAACGGTCATTGACACCTGAAGAAAAAATAATCGGGTTGTTATTAAATGTACTGGAAATGTATGTGCCCTGATAATAAAACAACTTATGAGCCACGTTGTCATGGCAGATCATGAGCTGATATTGATCTGTTAGTGAGAAAATTTGCATGCTCATTGGTAAAAATGGTGTTGCGACAGCATGTACTACATTTTTGCCAATTTTTAATTCACCAAATGAGTAACACATGATAGTATGTCGTGCAATCATTTGTGATAATATAATGTATATATCTTTGTTGCTTCTGTATCTATATATGTACATACTTTTTATTTGTTTGATACAACAAACCTTGGCCTAGTATTACAAATATACAAAACATACAGCTCGTGACCATTTATCCTTTTTTCGGAATTTTTTTTCAGGATGGAAAGTTGATCAACAAATTTTTTCAGTTGAAAATTATGCCATTGATCTTCGAATGCAACAGATATTGTCATTGCGGGTTGAAAAGCTGTAAAAATCGTGTTGTACAGAAAGGCATACAGTATCAGCTGCAGTTATTCAAGACACCTCATATGGGATGGGGTGTCAGAACAGTACATATGATAGAAAAGGGTTCATTTGTTTGCGAGTAAGTATTTCTATTTGTCTTGCATATATGTTAAAATAATTTTCTGATCAGATGAATCCCAATAAAACGAGGACTATTATTATAGCCATTTATCTGACATACATTGGCGATTGCTTTTTTCAAGCTTCATACGAAGACACAATGTCGTGCACATGTTCATCAGCAGACTAGACTAGCAGCTAGTTTTTTACATAAATTTTAATAGTTGGACATGTCAGCAACAACGGGTTCTAGGAGGTGACATTAAAGTCAAAACGTATGCACAGGCAATGGTTCGGTGAATTGATCCAAGATGACAAACTGACAGTCATTTTTAAAAATCTTGGACATGCTTTGTCGGTTTTCATTCAAATTTGGTACATACATTACACATGTTAAGATGATGTCCATGACATGATTATCATTCCGTGGTCGGATCAAAATGGCCGACTGGCATTTGATATAAATGATACTCACTTTAAAGCTTTGTAGAAATGTAAGGCAAAGCCTTGGGAGTTAAGTTAGGCTCAAACTGTACTGTACCTACCAGGTCATCATCCTCTTAACGTTATGACATTGTTAACCCCTTTTTCATGTTCAACCCTTGGTTGTATCTCAAAAATCCGTGGCCCGATTTTACACATACATCAGACTTTATATCGGACATGGCGATCATATTGTTTAAACGAATGCAGTTCCACAGAACCGTATCTCATACATGCCTGGACCAATGAAGTTTAAAACTTTTAAAACAAATACATCACACATCAGGTCACATGTTCTGGAAATGGATTTTAGTTACTCATTAACTGATCCATACAATATGCATCATGCATATAATGATATGATTTTGTTTCGTGGTTGGATTCATAAGCCCTTCACTGGCAGCCATTGTTTTATAGCCATAATCCGACCTCCAGCATCGGCCAGTAGTCATGCAATATATCGCACCCATAACACAAACAGGGAACAGTCATTGACAAAGACTCGTAAGCTGTATATAATTCATAGTTTATTCAACAAATAGACCTGCTGGACGTTAATCTGCAATTGATTTCATTTCTTGAATGTATATTTGCTTTTTTCATTTTATCAAGTTTCCAATTTTTGATCTGCCGACAATCAAAATACATGATAAATTGCTGTGCAATGTTTTGTTTCTCAAGACCTTGTATATTAAAAATGTATCCTGTGTAATGTAAGTAATTATTCACAAATGTCTTATTTGATAAAAAGGTATGTTGGAGAGTTGGTGACAGATAAGGAAGCTAACCACTGTAATGACAACTACTTATTCGATCTCGAAAAAAATAAGGTATGTACAGTAGAATATATTAAGTTTACGAATATATTAATTTATTATTGATAAAAAACATTCATTATCTTCACCATGTACAATCCATGTCTCGACATTGGCATTGGGATTAAGGCTAGGCAGGCTTTATCAACAAAAACCATAAACCTAACGCCAAGACGTGTATTGTTTCGGTCCACTGGAAACAAATTTAAGCTTAAATCATAAATCTTAAAATCCCAATTTCTTTTTTCAGGAGTTGCCCATTTGTTTAACCACCATCAAATTAGAATAGTGTTTAGTCATTGAACATACACCGTTCTCCCTACATTTTTATGTGTTTTCCTATAACCAAATGAACGCAACATGCCATTAGATATATCTTGGTCATAATGTGTTTACATTTAAGCTGTATCAGTTTTTACTATTTAGTACCACCAAAATACAATGAACGGGACTGGAATATATATACATGTAACTACAAGTGGTATTTTGTTTGATAAATAAAATGTTGGCAACAGAAAACAGCATTCGTTTTATTGCTTAAGCCTCAAAATATGTAGGCAATTCCTGGGTACACTCTTATTAGCATTATTTCGCTGAATACAGAATAAATACTTATGTTCATTGCCCATATGTTTATGATAACATACTGTATATTTATCAAGATTTAATAACACATTTACAGTGCAGAATCCATGTAAATAATAAATTTGTTTCCTTTTATTATTTAGGACCGTGATGCTTTCTGCTTAGATGGTACTACATATGGTAATATAAGCCGCTTCGTTAATCATTTTTGCAATCCGAACTTGATTCCCATTCGAGTGTTTGTAGAACATCAGGATCTGAAATGCCCACGCATTGCCCTATTTGCCATTAAAAACATTAAACCCTTTGAGCAACTAGGGTAAGTTATGTATGAAGACATCACAGCATACACAGTGACGCATTTATCGTTGCTTATTGTCATCAGCATGATAATGTTCGTTTGCCATAACCTGAAAATATCTTCAACATCTGCATTGACTTAATATAAACTGTCTTTGGTATCTCAAATGTCACTCAGTAGACTACATCTTAAAACTTATAATATAGCAATCTTTCGCTCGAGTGTCTTGAGTTAGTTTCTTGCAATTAATCTTATTATTTTTTCGCCACTAAAACATGACAAGTACATGATTGTACTCTAATCGCCATATTTCAGTCAGAATGTTGGGTACCCCAGCCAATCAGAATTAAATGTTGGGTACCCTAGCCAATCAGAATTAAATGTTGGGTACTCTAGCCAATCAGAATTAAATGTTGGGTACCCCAGCCAATCAGTTTTATATTCAATCACATTAAAAAGGGTTTAAATTCACAGATTTTTTGTTAATCAATGAATCAATGAGTTTTTCAGCGGATTTGATTTATCATAGATATAAAAGCACAATTACATGTACCTAATTTGAATAATGGTCAATTTTTTTAGATTTTCCAGTAGTAATCTTATTTATTGGTACATGAATACTTCGAATACATTCATAATCATCACATAATTTGCATGATAATTAAATTTACTGTTTAGCTTTCTATCATTTTTTTATTTTTATTATTTTTATTTTATCGAACAATTTTGTATTGTTTGTCAAAAATGCTGTGTGCGTTTCTTGATATTTTACTTGGTTTATGCCATTAAAATTACAAAACGTTTTCCTTATTGCAACTTAAATTCGGATGTCTTTTCAGGCTATGCCGACAGGAAGCCTTCAGCCAAATAATGGTTCCATCCTGACCAAAAAGTATTAAAGTAGCGAATGTCCTCATCAACATATCAATGTTACCTTTCTTTTATTTCTACAATAGATTATCGATCCACGAACGAACGTTTTAGGAAACTAAAACAAAATAGTGATAATGACAGATACATATATGAAACACCCATCGGAACAATCGAAATCAAATCATTTCGTAACTGATGGGGAAGTGTGCTGTAGTGTACATCAAATCCATATGTTCATTTTTCTCAGTTAGAACAACATTTATTTGAATACAAATATAGGTTTTAACGACATAAAATCACTTGGCATTGTGGGTAACCTTATGTTTACAGTAAAACACATTTTACTAGGATTATTTATTAGTTTGGATCATACATTTAAACACAGTTCATTTAAAGGGCGGTGGTAGCCATTGCAACATTTCTTGATAAACATTGATTTTCCCGCAATCCAATGCGTTCTTCTTATGAAATTACGAGTTTGGATTGGACTTCTTGTACTAATTGCACTTGTGACTTTCGATTCACCTAAAATACCCAATGAAAGCTCGGTATGCACTTGCACTTGCAAAACAGTCATAGTCGTTAACTTTGTTTATATGAGACCCATATCTCGCGCATGCGTAGCGCGACGACCTCCGCCCTTTTATTAATAATTATGTGTTGTAAAAACATTTCACTGTCTTTTATTTCAGGTTTGACTATGGTGAAAAATTTTGGTCAATTAAAAACAGATATTTTTCATGTAAATGTGGTTCTTCAAAATGTAAATATCCAACCATATCATCCAGCAGTTCTTCATCGGATGTAGATTAAAACTATGGTACCAGAAATGTGTGAAATGGAGAAGTGCAAGGATCCAAAACATTAGTATTATCCATCTGTTCGTACTGGAATTTTGATATATTTTAAGCAATATTTTTTTAACAATTGTTTTTGACTTGTTCTTCACTATCAGTGAATGATGGTTAATCAACTCATGCAAGTGCATATACACTTGTGTCTATCATTTTATCAAGTGTAAGGTGATTATAGCTTTTGCAGACATATCACAGTGTTTGTTATCAACGATTACTATGGTTTAACGGATCTAGCCATGATCTACACGAAAACATTATTATTTATTATATTTTACATTTATTTATTTGAATTGTTCTTTACATTTCACAAATTTTGATTCAAAAGCATTTCCTTTTTGTGAATGCATTTTTCTGCTTTTTCCTGTTCTTGATATTTTGTTAATGTTTAATTAATAAGCGTATTGATATTTCAGCTCAAAACAAGTGTACGTTTTTTTTTTCAATAAATGCTTTACGGATATTTCGGACAGTGATAGCTCACTTTGTTAAGAGGAGCCACCAAAACGCACTTTCACCCTCTTGTGTGGGCTTTCTTTACCGCATGGCCAAGCACACAACATAACTTCAAAATATTCAGGATTGACTCACAATGTACAAATGAGTGTTACAATTCACACAGGACACACGTTAAAAATATATTCAAATTATAACCGGTCACTTATAGCATAGTGGTTGTCTCACCAGACTCATAGTCGCTAGACCCAAGTTCAATTCCTGTCTTAGGATGGGCACCATAGAAAGACAAACCCAACCCTGAGTGAGTGTGCCTCACTGGGAAGGCCAATTCATCTGGCCGAGATTCATTCACAAACGAATGCGTCTTTGAGGAACCTTTGTTAAAGTCTGTAGGGTATTGTGTTTGGTCGAGCCTGTTTTACACTAGAATAGCACATAAACTGCCATTTCATAGAGAGATGGCAGCACAGTCCTGTCATGTAGTTCAAAACATGAATATAGCTTCTGCGGCAAAATGCACAAGTCGCATGGCACAAAAACACAATTCTAATATTAAAAGTTAGTCACTAAACCATGTACTTTCACACTCAAGCAAGAGAATTGACGTGTTGGTTAACTAGCCTTGCACTGTGAGTGTTCTATTGTTTGCAGTCTGTAAAATACCAGTTTTGTCAAAAATAAAAAAATAAAAATATTTGTAAGTGGGCCAGCCAAGTTTCCACATACAAAAATACACAATCTATAGGATCTACAACAGTAAATACATGAACAGAAATCATTTTGATGCCATGTTTTTAGAATACACTGCATTTTGATTCGGACCATTTCAAGCTGTAAGGTGTCTAACAATGACAAACAATAAACACATCTTCCACCCACCACACAAATTTTAGCCGTAATTGAACAACCAAGACCAACTCTACAGCATTAATGGTTCCTATACTCATTTGCATCTATGATGCACCTGACTCATCAAACGTTCAAATTATTGTTGAGTGAGGGCGTGAGGAATCTCTTAAAAGAATTAAACAGATGTCACTTTACTGAGTGTGATTGTTTCAGGGAAAATGTGAAAAAACATCTGTGAGATTATATTATGAAAGATTACATAATTTGACTTTAGTGTGCATAATGTTTACTACAGTTAACTTAAAACGGTAGGTATCCCATATCCAATAATGCTACACGCAAATCATGGTTAAAATTCCTCAAAATTTTATCATGGTAGTATTTGACATGTCTGTTGCACTAAAGTGACTTGTTCAGGACAGACATGATACAAGGTAAGAATGCATTTTCTACAATTTTGGGGTTGAAATCTATGCATAATAATTACTCAATTACTATCCATATCCATGTTAGAATGGAACGGAAAAAAAGACATAAAATTTACTATTTTTTATGGGAGGAGGTCCAAACTTTAAAATCACCAGACTAAGTTAATGACTTTTTTATATTATACAAAAACAAATTGAATAATCTTTTCAACGGGGAGGTCCGGACCCCAAGACACCCCCCCCCCTAGACGCAAAGTTCCCGGAACCATCGTAGATGGCGCAGCGCACGACTATAGGGCTTTCACGGAACACTATCAATCTCTTTCGTAGTAAAATACCAGGTAATGACCTAAAATACCCCACATATGTATGTTGTAGCCAACATTTCCACATTGTATCGGATGGAACGCCTTAGAATAGTTTCAAGAGGCTTGGAAACGGTGGAAAGCATACAAAACAGTATATATCTGAGCCAGAAAGTGAATTTTATGATTTCATTTAATATCCCTGTGACGTCACAAAATAACGTCATCTTCGGCAGGTCTTCGGAAGCAACGTCCCCGGAACCATTCCGATGCTCGGAAATGTTATCCAAATAAAGTCATTGTGTCAACACATGTGGCGCTATTCAGCACAGACGGTTGGATTGCGGCGATCTGCGTGTCAATGAAATAAAGATGATAGATAGGTAAGTGAGAGTGTGATACTTCAAATTGATAGGTTGCAGTAGCCTAACTGTTTAGATTTTACTCTCGAATCATTATTCGCTACGCAAAAATGTAAATTTGGAAAAATCGTGGACTTGATCATGCGAAAGATTCTTCTACTGAAAAGGAATGGGTTTTGAAACTCGTGTCGTGACATTGTCAATGTTCCGATAGGTGTACATCTCGTGCTAATTTCAGCATTGTCTGCACATGAGGAAATGTTGATTTGTAACTCAAGTATACTCAAATATCGGGAAATTTTGGGTGATTAATTTACACCGTTAGTTTCCACCGTTCAGTAAGTACGCATGCATCTGGTGCAGAATAGCGTCAATCTCAATAACAGCGTCCCCACCTGAAGCGTTTTCGATTATTCGCCTTGGGGCCCCGGGGGTCCGACTTATGGAAATACCTGGAACCCATGTATGTGAAAAGGGTTTTCAAAATGACCCTAAACACGTTTTAAAAGGTTAAAATTTCGTACCCTTTTCACTGCTAGAAAGCTGAAAGATCACGCACCTTGAACTCGCGCTTGATCTCGCGATATTTGAGCTTTCTAACCCTTTAGTGTAAGCACGGGTTTGTCATATGCCATGATCGCCCGTGATCGAGGGTCGTTAACCAGGGGGGCGGACGTTTTCCTCGCTTTTGCGATCATTGAATTCCTTAAAGCAATAAAAAAAAAGATAATCACATATAAAAAATAACCACCCTTATCACGTTGGCAGTACCGGAAAAGATACCTTTTTTGTCTATTTTGACTGAGATGGTAACGCGCGTTAACGCACTTTTCTTTAAACAAACACCCTTTTAACGCGTTTTCTTTCACAGACATGCGTACCAGATCATTTTTTAAGTCGGACCCCGGGCTCGGGCGCCCTGAGTGACGTAGAAACCTTTCCTTGAGTCAGCTCGAGGTGCCTCGATGCAAGGAAATAAAAGAACACAATAAACTGCCTCGAGGAACTAAGGTCAGTTAAACAAAATGGCAGATCGTGAACATATTCGTCGTATTTTAGGAGTGTTGGTGCCAAAATTTGTGCAGCAAACTGAGATGCTAATGTTGGTTCTCATCATGAATAATGACGATGCATTTGGGCTGCTATTTGCGAGACGAGCAGCTGTTCCGCGCATCCAGGGCCGGGATCCAGGGATACGCAGAAACCGTTGTTCCGGGATATGAGCCAGATGATTTTAAAAGTCACAGCTTCTTAAGAATTACAACGAATTGCCTAAACCCGACTTGCCGGGGATGCGGGGAAAAATGGCAGTTACCATAAAAAAACAGTTATTGATTTTTCTGTGGTAATTAGGTAAGTTTATTTTATTTTAGTAACTGTCCTAAATTGTGCTTCGGTTTTTGAACGAGCATTATAAATCGAGGAAACACATTGACGTAACAGATACGGGGCATGTCAATTCTCCTAGTTTTGATGTGTACATGTTTTATAACTATTCCTCATGTAGTTCGATAGGGTCTCTCCCAACATTTTATTCGAAATACCCTAGTTTGTAATTCATAGGAACTGTAGTCACAATATACTTTTTCAGTTGTTTAGTCCAAGTATTATATAATTTATTGAAATTTGCTCAATAGTATGTTTTCATGGAAGTTCCATGATTAAATTAATATCAATATGTAAAATAATAAAACTCATTGTTTTCATTACAGTGGTGTGAACTTGAAATATATGTGAACATAATCACAATATATTAAAATACTAAAATTAAAATAAATGCCAGTAAAAATAGCTGTTTCTGACTGTAATCACAAACCGTTTAGAAGAGTACAGATTTTTCCTAGAAATTACATATCCTACTGCAACATTATCCTTCCACCTGCAATATCCTATTTAATTACAACCCCTCTACTAATTTTGATAAAAATATTTATAGTTAACCACATTTTTTTAGGTAATAATGAAACATTCCGATCCATAGTGGATAGATTTTGAGTGTCACTGTCAAGGTAGTTGTTGAAAAGTTGATGCCACGCTACATCAAATGGCCACGTGAAGCAGACATCAGAAATCAGACCATACAGTGGCATGGCCACATTTCAAGGCTCCATGCAATCCTGGGTGCTTTTGATGGAGCACATATTATAATCAAAGCCCCCCATTTGAATTCAGATTCATATACAAATAGAAAGAAGTTTAACTCTATCATTCTACAGGCAGTATGTAGTTCCAGATTATTGTTTATTGATGTTTACGCAAGATGGTCTGGAAGTACACATGACGCCAGAGAAATTCTCCACTATTTGAGTCTCTTAATGTTATCATGCCACCTAATACACATCTTGTTGGTGATAGTGCATACCCTCTTTCAGTTAAATTACTTACACCTTTCCGTCATTATGGTACCTTGAGTAAAGCACAAACAAACCGACAAACAATTGAGCGAGCTTTTGGCGAACTTAAGGGCAGGTTTCGAAAATTGAGAGATTTTAATGCTAATGACATGCAATTGATTGTGAATGGTACATTGAGTGCCCGTGTTATTCATAACATCTG